AAGGTGTGACAAGTAAACCTCCTAACCAAGTTTGCAAGGCTTTGTATCTATGAACTAAAACAAACCACAAGATGTTAATTTGAAATAATAGTAAAAGTTCATAAAGAAAATGGGTTTGAAAATTCATCAGTTAACCACTGTATTTATATATCTTAGACAAAGGTGCAATATGTAAAATTATTTATGTAGTTCTGCAGATGGTATTTGCCACTGCAGATAATAATACATTGAATAGTTTCAAAAGGTATTTGGCAAATAACTGTTCTATGTTTTATTTGAAAGTCAGTAAACTATTTTTGGGTACTAAAATTAAAAGGTAATCAAAAATAAAATTACTCTTGATCAATTTTCATATAGGTACAGTTCAAATGTACATGAAAATATTTTCATAAATTTAATATGAATGACTGTTGTGCCATCAGCTGTGTCAGCACTCCACTTCCTAGTAAACTGCATTTGATTGGTTTAAATTCAGAAGAAAAACATGATAGCCCTTGCCGGAATCTAATCGTCTCTTTAATGTATATTATGTTATGATTTAAGTACCACTGTTAATATTTTGAGCAGGTATTAAAACAAGAATAATAAAGAGTTTTGGCAATATTTGAAAAGGGTCCTTAGATATCTTAAGGGTAAAATCAATGTGAAGTTGACACAATATTTTACTTGTGAATGTATCAATTTCTTGAGTGATTCTATTAATCCTGACTAGGAAGGTTGAGATGATAATATAAACAATATAAAAAGCACATCAGGATATTTATTTAAACTGTTTGAAATTTGTGTGATATGTTGGAATACAAAAAGGCAGTTGTCAGTACCGGCATCATCTACTGAAGCCGAATATATGGTTTTTCTTTTTGAAGCGGCTCTTTAATTAAAATCATTAGCAGAAAATATGCATAAATATTGATATCAGAGTCAATTATGACCTAGGAGGACAACAATGGACCTCAATAAGTATTACAAATAATCCAACAAATCACAAAATATCAAATCATATTGAATTGATCGTAATTAATATAAAATATTAATTTGTCCACAGAGAAACCACTAGCAGACATGTTTACCAAACCATTGATGCAAGTGAAATTTGAGAAATTAGAATGGAATTAGGCTTAGTAAATAAGTTAAATGGTTTGATTAGGTTTTTCTGGGTTTCCCCTAATCCCGAGCAGCAAATGCTGGACCGTTATTGTAATTTTCCCCAGAAAAGACACACATAAGGAAAGCAGGCCTATTTATGTTATACTAGGTTTAAGTTGTATTACACTTTTGGTATAATTGATCAAATTTTTGAGGTGGCGTGTTGGATAAACTGATATTCATATCAGTGAAACAAAAACTAATAAATTAAACTTTCATTATTAGCCTATACTTTGCTCATTTATATCGCAGCTATGGAAGACTGAATGTGTTTATAATAGTTTTTATATGTAAGGTAAACAGATGAGGAATCGTTCACTTAAGAAAGGGTTTGTAATTCTTTGTCTTGATGTTGAGTCAGTTCGTATAGTTATTTCTATGTGTTCACACGCTCTGCTTTCCACGCTGTGTTCGATATAATAAATATATTGAATATCGATAATTAACAAGTTCTTTTATTTCTTAGTCCATTTCCCAATAGTTCGCATGAGAGTCACCCCAACAGTCGACCTAATTGGCAAAGCTGGCACTGTTGAAGTTAAGCAATATCACTGACCATACCCAATGGAGGATTGAAAACTGTAAAATTGTTTGACATAAGTATCAGTTCTGTACAAGATATTTTACCTTCTGCCTGTGATATTGCCTGGCTGTATGGAAAAAACACGCTCTCATTATCAGTACCTGATTGGAATGGATTCATGAAATTGAAGGAACAAGAAGATAAATATGAATGCTCCAAGATTGTGTGCCTCCCTTTCATTAATGCATCTCCAAATGTATACATCCATTCTCACTGCAATTGAAGAATGTAAGCGAATTAACCAGAAAACATGTGTTGTCACGTTAACCAACCATTGTATTGGAAGGCTCGTGATGTGGCTGCCTCCATTCCAGAGTTCAGTAACGTCATTGTGAGGCTAGGAGGTTTCCCCCTCTTAAATGTCATTCATGGGTGCCAAGGGAACGATTATGACTGGGAGCGGTTTAAAAGAGCTATTTTGCGAGATTTTGTGTTCAAAAGATACTGTCTGGACATGCTTATGCCAGAGCTGTACGTGCAAATAGCCTTCCTTAGGCTGCTTTGGATGATCTGATATTTGAAGTTTTGGGATTGATAGAAGAAGAGCTGTTTGTACTGGATATCTAAAGTTATTGATTCTTTTCACAAATCCAATATAGATTTCAAGCATCCAGCATTGCAAGAGGTGAAAGTTGAATTCTCGCTGAAGTGCTGAACGTAATTGAGGATAGAGGACCAACTGCGACACTATGGATCCAATACTTCCGCCTGTGTACCCTAATGAAAAAAATCATCAGAGCTGAACCTTTGGGTGACTGGAATCTCCACCTCGACTCAGTCAGAGAAATGATCCCCTACTTCCATGTTGCAGGCCACTTGAATTAAGCCAAGAGTGCACACTTGTACTACCAGGATATGATCACCTTAAAAGAGAAAATAGATTCTCAAGAATATGAAAAGTTCACCACTAAGGGATACTTCACTAGTCGCAGAACCGACAAATTCTGGTCAGGCATCAGGTCATATATTATGACTATATATTTAGCAGGTTCTCATGCGATCTATGAAGAGCTATGGTGGGCTGACTCGTGGTCGTGGTGTCAGTGATAGTGTGCTTTCTCGATAGATTGTGGCTACGATATGTCTCCAAAGTGTCAATGAGCAAATGGAACTGTTTGCTGGAGTACTCTTAGGGACTACTGAGCAGGACGTGGATATGAGGCCTTTCCGTGTTACCAGGGATAATATCGACAACAAGAAACTTAGTGATGGGTTGGCTGACCATCCACCTTTCCCAGATACAAAAGAGCTATTCTCAATAGGCTCCTGAAGTTGTGAACTGCCACTTAGCTCGAAATATTGGTATCACCTGTATGAAGACCTGTTTGGAAAAAGGGAATTTTCAAGACATGAAATTAAAGCGGAAAGAAAAGGTTGTTTCTCTAGCATCTGTTTCCTGTTGCGTGAAAATTAAAGACAAAAAGTTCACAATAGACCCTCTCACTAGTCTAACTCTCTTTCAACGGATTTGCATAATAAAATAATCAGATGATGATCTTAGAAACTTGTTGACATACGAGCTAGCCCCCTTCCTGATATCTCTCTCCACAGAGGAAGGTATGCACAAAGGCACAAAGTCAATGTTGTATGCAGTATTCACTCCTATAAGAACCAGTAAACTTCGCCAGCAGCAAATGCGCAGTTATACCTGCTACATAAGGTTGTGTGAAGCAAATTTAGATGTGCGATATTTGAATTGGTGTGCCAGAGTTACGTGGATTATGTTCAAAGACACTTCGGGAGCAATGCTATAGTGGTTTTTGATGGGTATCCTCTTGGCATAAGTTACTAAAGCACCAAAGCAGAACTATATCTTTGCTGCACTCATCGTCAAAGTTTGTGTTCTCCAAAACATCTGTGCCTACCATTTCACAAGAAAAATTTCTCTCCAACGATATCAACAAGAAAAACTTCATCACAATACTGATTACTGAAATGGAATTCAGGCAAAGCAGGCAACAAAAGATGCCGATATCATGATAGTGGAAACTATTACATCAAAATCTGCCGACTTTGATAGTGTCATCATAACAGGAGGAGACATCGATCTTCGAGTTTTACTGACAGCATCAGCTTTCTCTAAAAATAACATTTATTTCCAGAATAGTGGCAGAGGTAACACCCCCAGTGTTTTGTATTCATCCCATTTCCCATTCAAGTCAACACTCAGGATATGCCTTTCTTCACGCAGTGAGTGGATGTGACACCACTTTAGCACTCTTCGAAATTGCAAAGAAGAAGGTAATGCAACTAATGCAAGTTTATAAAAAAAAAACCTTGGCTCTTAGGAATAGGTAGTGTCTTCAAAGATCCTGACGCAAGACCACACCAACTTACTGAAGCTGGAAAGAAGTTCCTAGCCAGATTACCACCTACAAGAGATGCGAAGACGTGCCATCTGCACCAAAGAGGTTGATAAGCACAGACGCCTGACGTTTTTGGTTATGATTTCTAATATGTATATGCTGAATGAAAAAAGGTGCAAATTATGACTAGAAATTTACATGTTTTCAGACGTTTGCAAAATTTAAGTTATATGGCAAAAACCTGCATTTTTAGGCTATTTTTGATAATCCGAGAAAATACTTGAATTTTTGAATCACTATATTTCAGTAACTATTGGATCGAATACTTTTGGCCAGTGGAATTTAAAAGAAATTTGAAGTTCTTCAACTTTGTTGAGAAGTTATAAGCAAAAAACTGGAAAAGTCCGAAATTTTCGAGGATTTAGTTGCGGTTGACGCAGAAAATAATTCAGGTTCACAGCAGACATATATCGTCTGTGGGTGCACGTAAAAGAGATGAGGATAAAATATGTTTATTCCATGCTTGGTGGTCGGCCGGAAGAAATTTTTGACAAGTTGAGAATTTTTCTGTATCTTTGAACCACTGTATCTCGGTTACTATTGCATTAAATGATACGTTTGACTAGTGAAATTTGAAAAAAAATTGATGTTCTTCAACTTTATAAGCAAAAAACTGGAAAAGTCCGAAAATTTTGTGGTTTTTCGACTCAACCCAAGTTAGCACAGGTTCCTCGAGGTCGAAAGCTCAGAATTTACTCCACAGACTACCCACAAATGACATACCAAGATATCATTAACTTCAGAATACTTTCCAGCAGAAAGTACTTGCCGGCTGGACTAAATATAAACATGACTACAAAATTTGTGTGATTAAAACGACTAGATCTACGATCTCGTCGTTCTAATCTCTCGCATTCGTTATTGTATTCATGTTCATACGCACTTGTAATGTGAATAACTATTACCTCAATAATACCAACATCAAAATATGGTATTGTTCCGTTATAGGCAAATAGTGGATGTGCATGAGCCTTTTTAATCTTTATTGTGGTGTTTAGATGTTTAGCTTCAGCCAAGGCATTGGTTCCGTATACAACGTGTCCACTGAAATATTACAAAACATTTATTTGGCTTAGGCCCGGTTTATTCATCTTCAGATAATCTTGCTGGTAACTATCTGCAAGATAAATTTACCGTTCTATAATTCCATTGGGCGGCGGATAACTGGCAGACCAATGGGATTACAGATTGCGTTTTTATCCGTCAGATTGCATAACTGACATTTTATCAGAAGGTGAATAAACAAGCCCTTAGTGGATTTTGAATGATGATGTGACGTGTGACGCTGGTTTTTAAGATTTTGAGCGTTGTTAGGGGTTAAATCTTAGATATTTGTATATGTTTCGGGAGAGTAGGACTCTTCTTCCTATTGAGGATATTTTAAATACCGAGTCATAGTGGATTGCTCTACGTCATAAGGGTTATAGATAGAAAGTTCCGATTAAGTTTCCCTGGATGGACCAGAATTCGAAATTGACATTTGACAATTGACAGGAGCGTCTTATCTGCAAAAAGGTCAATTGGAGTGTCGCGTCTTTGCCTGATTACCAAACACTTGGGAGTTTGTGGGGTAATTTCTTTGGACTGTTCGTGGGTTCACAAATATGTTTTGACTTGGAAATGTCTGTTGAGCTTGTAACAGGTAAGGTAATTTGTGGGAGAGGGTTGGGGGACTAGTAGTTAGGGATTGATTTACAAAATGACTTGAATTCTCATTTGAGGTATTAGGTACCTATACTTTTTTGTATGGGATTGCTCATGAAAAATGTGCTATCTTTCTCACTTTTGTTGCACAATATACCATTAGGTTTTTCAAACTTACCCTACGAGACCTTTAACACAATGACCGGCCGTCAAAACCCATTTGTCGCCAATAATGGATCCACCGCAGAAGTAAATATTATAAACATCGTCAAGTAATTGAACCTACAATAAAAACAATTACACATTAGTGTCATTAAGTGAAAGTGATATACAGGTTTCGTAAGGCTTCATTACATTTGTTTGCTTCTTCATACCGTCCCTGCCTTCATACGGTTCTTCAGCATTATAGTCCGAGATCCGGCTGCAAATTTTTGGACCGATCGCGTAACCACTGGAAATTGCGAGAATATTGAAGTTTTGTATATAGACTTTTGAAAAATGTCATGGTGCCAGTAAAGTCTTGGCCGGAAGAGCAATAATTTTTTTTATTTATTGCTCAATTTTTCAACATTGCTTATTTTCGAGGGTCACCAAAAAATCTTTGTTCCGGAATATGCGCGGCAATTATGCGATGCGAAAAATGTATTGGTGCCACCTCCCATTTGGCCGCGTCGCCGCGGCACCAGCATATGAAGGGGTAGTTTTTTTCAGCAAATCATCCCCATCACGTATTCACTTGATCGAGGTATCAAATGAAAGGTACTGATCTATCCAATAAGAAAAACGAATGGTGCCACTTCAAATCCGGCCGGAAGTGCCGGGCACCAATGATTTTATGCGCAATTATCACGGAACGTTATCTCGATTATTTTCCAATTTTCTACCAAAACCTGCAGTTTCAAAGTTGTGGAGAATTATGTTACTGGAACTATTCATCTAAAAAATTTGTGAATTTAGTTTTCTCTCGATTTTTTGTGGGCTTAAGTGTTATCTGAAACTTTAGGATTTATAGATAATTGTGATAAATGAAGTCATTATTGCGGCTGAACGACGGAATCACCGATGAAGAATTATTCCCTCCAAACAACATGGTATATAGAAGGTATAGAGAGCCAGATCCAACAAATAAATCAAGAGGCGGTGGTGTTCTCATCGCAGTGGAATCCTCTTTCGAATCATCAATTTGTACAGTTCCTGATAACGAAGTTGAACAAATCTGGATCAGTATACAATTTGGAAATGACAACTACATTGTGGCAGCACTCTATGTACCACCATCCTCCAAAGCCGCAGTTTATGAGGACCTTGTAACTTCCGTGAGTTATGTCCTTGACCATTTTCCGTCGACTAAGGTCTTGCTATTGGGATACTTTAATTTGCCTAGCTACGAAACCTCGTTTGTTCAAGTTGAAACTTGTGATAAAGTGGATGTTGACAATAATATTTGCCTCAACTTGCTTTCTACTAACAGTGACTGTGACTTTGATAAGATATTTACTTCGAACAATGAGTGTGAACAAATACTTTTCGACTGTACATGTTTTTACGACCTTACTCAGTTTAATAATGTTTTTAACGCCAATAATGTTAAATTGGATTTAGTTTTTTCAAACTACCCCAACATGTCTATATCAAATAACATGTCACCTCTAACTAACGTTGATAGCCATCACCCTGCTCTGTTGATTGATCTTTTTGTTGACACAGTGGGAGATAATGTATCGGATCTGCAACTCTTCAGGTATAATTTTCATAAAGCTGACTACGATTTGTTGAATGATTACTTTGAATCTATTGATTGGAGCTTTTTGTATTGTAATATTATCAATAGTGCCCTCGAAATGTTTTATACAGTCTTATACATTGCAATTGACCTACATGTTCCAAAAACTAGAGTCGCAACTTTAAAATATCCGAATTATTTTTCAAGAGGAACGATTGCTTTGATTAATAAGAAAAACAAAGCCTTTAAGAAATATAAACACACTAGATTAACTTATGATGAGTGTCAGTACAAAATACTTAGGTCACAATCAAAGGCTTCCATTAAGAAAGACTATGATGTTTTCGTTCAGACTATATAAAATAATATCTTAAACAACACTAAAGCATTCTGGTCATCGCAGATTTTTTTGCAGATTTCTTCCAGTCTGTATTCACTGTACTTGACCCTGCAGTCACTAAAAACCCACTTCCATGTTCTATCAACAATATGGTCCTTTCTAACATAGAGATTAACAGTGATATTGTACTTCAGAAACTTATCGGACTGGACGAGAAAAAAGGAGCAGGACCAGATGATATTCCTCCAATTTTTGTGAAGAACTGCTGTCCAATTTTGACGTCACCACTTAGTTACCTGTATCGGCTATCTCTCGATTTGGGTCAGTTCCCGAACCTCTGGGAATCTGCCTATGTAACTGCAATATTTAAGGGGGGTGTCAGGGGAGACATATCCAACTATCGCCCCATATCTGGTTTTGATAGTATGTCCAAGGTCCTGGAATCTATTGTTGTTGACGAGCTTCTGTCAAATCTTTATAACAGTCTTTCAGAACACCGGCATGGCTTCCTGCCTGGGTGTTCATGTCAGACTAACTTAGGTGTTTATTCCCATTATTTGTCTACCTCTATCGACTCTGGGGGTCAGGTTGATTCGATCTATTTTGATTTTAAGAAGGCCTTCGACAGAGTAGATCATGTTATGCTCCTCAATAAACTAGAGTCATTCGGCGTCACAGGCCCTCTTTTATCTTGGGTTGCAAGTTACCTCGTTAGGATTAGGGGAGCCGTATCTAGAGAAATTGCAGTCACATCTGGTGTACCCAGGGGTCACATTTGGGCCCTATTTTGTTTCTTGTTTTCATTAATGACCTTGCCAGTGCATTCACCAATTGCAAATTTCTCTTCTATGCTGACGATCTCAAAATTTTTAGAAACATTACTTGCAGCCATGACTGCTCACTTCTACAGTTGGAGATCGATAAGATATCAGAATGGTGTAAATTAAATGGAACTGAACTAAATACTTCCAAATGCAAGATAATATCGTTTTCACGGAAAAAGCGCCCATCCTGCACTCCTACTTTATTGCACGTTCCAATCTGCCAAGAGTAGATCTAATTAACGATTTGGGAATAGTCTTTGACACTAAGTTAAGATTTAAAAATCCTATAAATTTTATCTTGGCAAAGGCCTTCAAAATGGCGGGCTTTATAATGCGTACGTGTTGGGAGTTTTCTAACATCGAGGTACTGAAGTCTCTGTATTTTTCATTGGTGCGAAGTCACCTCGAGTATTGCTGCATAGTTTGGTCGCCATGTTACCAAACCCATATTAAGCGCATTGAACGCGTTCAAGGGAAATTTGTCAACTTCCTGTTGTACAAACTTGGAATTGACAAAAGTCAGTTTTCACACCAAGATCGTTTGCAACTACTAAATATCGATAGCTTGGAGATGCGTAGGACATTTCTGACAATCATGTTCGGGTTCAAAATACTAACTAATAATGTGAACTGTCCGGAACTTTTGACACTTATAAACATTCGTGTACGCGATCCGCGTTTAAATGGTATGTTTTCAACCACTAGAAGCCGGACTGATGTTGGTAAAAATAGTGTCATGAATCGCATCATGCATCTCTTCAACACACATATTCCTGCGAATTTTGAATTCAATTGCATCCCAATTACATTCAAAAATCAACTGAAATCAATATTAGCAAATCTTTAACGACCATAGATTGGAGGCAATTCGGTGACTCCAAATACGGTAGTATGGATCTTGACCTAAGATCTTGACTCTCTGTGAAAATGAGTTGTAGCGCCGATATATGATTTAAGGAGAAGTTAGGGAAGTAATAATTAAGGAAAGGGTGCCATATGTATGTACCTATTGTATTGTGTTTATTTACTTTTATTTGTATTTGCCTTGTATTAATTGTTGTGATCATATGTATAGCACAGTTTTGTTTTATTTATTTTTTTCGAAAAAATTTGTCATAGATATAAGTATACCATTTGGAGTTTGCTCTGTTGTGTATTAAATTATGAAAAAATTCTAGTGTATAGAAACAAATTTTTCGCTCAAAATAAGCCATAAAATTTTTACGATTGTGAAGGTCACCATTTTTATTTTTTCGGCATCGAGCGTGTCTTCGGTGGCAGGCGTTTTTTCGTCATCTTGTTGAGCATTTTTGCGTCCTATGCGGTTGCGGAAATCTAGTCCGGAATCAGTGGAACATTATCGACAGAAGCATTCAACGTTTCTGGCTGCAAACGTACTATACAGCATTTTCTGTGAAAAGTTTCTGGTATTCTTCTCTTTGCTTTGCCTTTACAATTCGAATTTTTCGAGGAATTTTTCTATAACATTGTCTGACGATTCTTGCGAAAGTTGTACATCTCCGTACAAATTATGCTTCACTTTTTTCACATACGAAACACTTATTCAGTTCCATAAACTGAAGGTTAACTTCTGAAATTTCATAGTGATTCCAAAAGGTAACTCTTAATTTTCTGTCAAAATAATTTTATAATATCTATACCTACCCTCCAATGTGGATCATTTAACATAATGGCCTTGTGGGGTTATGGCTTGTGTGCCTTCTGCCGGCCATATTGTTTGTCAAAATCACGTATTTTGAACAAGCTTAATACTAAAGACAAATTTATTTCTAATAACATTACGGTAGAAGTATAAAACAGCACAGAAATGCCCTGCCTGTGGCCTATTTTGCACCAAATTTATTGAAAATGATCAATTTTCACAAATTTTTTAGATGATTAGTTCCAATAACATAATTCTCCACAACATTGATACTGCAGGTTTCGGTTGAAAATTGGAAAATAATCGAGATAACGTTCCGTGATAATTGCGCATAAAATCATTGGTGCCAGGCACTTCCGGCCGGTTTTGAAGTGGCACCATTCGTTTTTCTTATTGGATAGATCAGTACCTTTCATTTGATACCTCGATCAAGTGGATACGTGATGGGGATGATTTGCTGAAAAAAACTACCCCTTCACATGCTGGTGCCGCGGCGACGCGACGCGGCCAAATGGGAGGTGGCACCAATACATTTTTCGCATCGCATAATTGCCGCGCATATTCCGGAACAAAGATTTTTTGGTGACCCTCGAAAATAAGCAATGTTGAAAAATTGAGCAATAAATAAAAAAAATTATTGCTCTTCCGGCCAAAACTTTACTGGCACCATGACATTTTTCAAAAGTCTATATACAAAACTTCAATATTCTCGCAATTTCCAGTGGTTACGCG